GATAGTAGGCAGCCATATGGTTGACTGTCATGCTGTAGAGGGCTGCCAACTAGTTTGTAAGCAGAAGACAAACAAGGCGTAGTAGGCAGCCAGATGGTTGACTGTCATGCTGTAGAAGGCTGCCAACTAGTTTGTAAGCAGAAGACAAACAAGGCGTAGTAGGCAGCCAGATGGTTGCACTATTCAGTGTACATGTCCCAGGTGTTCCACGAAGTTCCCGCAAATCTACAAGCAATTTCTGAACATGGATTCTACCATCTAAAGTAGTTATTGGCGAATTATAAATTCAATTTCATTCAGAACGGGGGAGGGGCTGCGGTTCAAATTTCTTTGTTGGTATTTACGATTTTTCATTAGCATTTAGAACTGAAAACTGGTAAACTGGTAGACTTAAGTGAAAGTACCCAGCTACAGATGCAGACAAGCGTGCGATTTTGGCCGGCTACCGGCTCTAATCGAGGGCTGTGGGTAAAGCTTGTAATTTATCGTAGTGGAAAACGTGGTCCTTTTGCCAGAGTTAAACTTACCCCTCTTCGTGGATGTTTTCCTTACTAGAGCTGTCGTGCTACACTCTGTGCCCGTGTCAGGGAGCTGGCAACAAGAGGAAACTCCGAATGTCAACTATCATGTTGTCAACTCTCTACAGCCGTGTTCAGAATATGAATTCAAGGTTCAGCTGATTGTGGGGGGAGTTCAACCAGGGCCATACTCTTCTACCGTGAAGGCAACAACTACATCTGCCAGTAAGTAATGGTAATATGACCTTGTGAAGTCCAGTTCGTTCTGTTATCCTACGGGTGATAACAAAATTGGACGACCACGCAGCGAGAGTCCGATTTGTTCATCACGAGTATTATTACTGACCGAATCGGACGACACGAAGTCTTTTCACTAATTAATCATGAAATTACAATTTCCGAGAAAAGAAGAATAGCCAAGTCATGAATGAAAGGGAAAATGAATTAAACTGTAACGTGGAATGTGATTGGTTGAATTAAACTCCAACTTTGAATGTGATTGTCTTATTGAACCGTCCGATAACAAACTGTCCGATAACAACTCGACCAGTGAATTATTGGGAAATAGAAGTCACTTAAAACTAATCACAATCAAGGAAATTGATATTTTATGCTAAGTTGTAGAAGTGCTCGTTAAGTGTATGATTATTACATGGTTACTCAGCCACTCTAGGTAGTGTAGGTACATTGAACTAATTCATACTAAGAAATAGATACTGTCTGAATAGAGCGGTTTTCCCAGCGGGGGAG